CTCAAAAAAAATAAAAAAAAAAAAAAAAAACCAAGATGGGAAAAGAGCGAAGTAAAGGGAGGAGAGGGCTGATGGAGGAAGAGAAACTACTGCAGTGCTGGGGCCGAGAGGATTAGTGAGCTAGAGTTCTTACTATGGGAATTCCTGAAGAAGTGATTAGAGAATGTATAGTTTGTGTGTATGACTTTGGAAGTGGTGCAGTGTCCAGTGGTGAAATGATTCAAGATGTAACATTGGAAGTAATGTATGGCAGAAGTAGAAAGGAAACAGGCATCTGTGAGGAGCCAATTGCACTGAGAGGTCAGGATGTAGGGTGGGTTGCCCATGTGCCCACATGATGTGGGCACATGGGCAACCCACCCATGGGCAACATGATAACAAGGCTGATGACAGTAGCTGAGAGGGAAAGGGAGATTGTGGGCCAGAAGAGGTGACAACCACCATGGTAATAGACTGGTTATAACCCTCTGAGGTTTTTACAAGAGCAGGGAAGTGAAGTAGTCTTTTGCAGATGGCTTTGGGAAGCAAGGAGGACCCTGAAGTACATACAGGTGAGAATAAATAGCCTTGTTAAACAAATGGTCCAGGAACAGCCGTATTTTAGTTAAGGCCAATAGATGGAGAGAATGTTTTAAAAAGGCTAAGATATTGGGAAGTTTCCCAGTCATGGAGCTAGAGTCAGAGTAAGGGAAGAATAGAAGAGATTATTGGGCTAGGTGAAGGGATGCATTAAAGTTTATGGAATTAATCCATAATTAGAGAAGAAGACTAACCCATATCCCTGGAACTCTTGGGGTGTCATTGCCATAATAGAAAGGGAGATGAGTTTCATTTTGATGATCTCTAAATGAACTTGTATTGTCAGGTCAGTGTTTCTTCAATTAGGAAACCCAGGAGACTGGATAAGTTCTTGGGTGACCACAGTTGACTAGTGAATTTTTACTAAAAGTCTGGATTCTTCTTTTAGTGATAATCTAAAACTTGATTTCAACTCCCAGATTTGAGTTTATATTGATTTGAAATTGTTACTGTAGTTATAGTACTATATATTTACATGAAATTATAACGAAATTATTTAAATCAATACTAGTATACCATGAGAATTTGAAGAAATTGGCTAGATATTATCTAAAAGCCCTTTCACTTCTAAAATACAGCAATTTAATTCTTTGTTTTCTTGTACATAGAGTACATTACTTTCTAGTAATATAGTCCTCATTTATTTAAAATTTTACAATATACTATGTATGATACATATTCAGAGTAAGAAAATTAGAAATTCCTGATTTTCTTAAAAAAATAAATTACCTGGGATGGCGCCTATGGCTCAAGGAGTAGGGCACTGGCCCTAT